GTGCTTTAGCCTAGCCTGTACATTTGCTTAGCCGGTGCTTTAGCCTAGCCGGTGCTTTAGCCTAGCCGGTGCTTTAGCTTAGCCTGTGCTATAGCTTAGCTCCTGCTGTCCAGTAAGGGAAGACTAGCTCTCAGCCACTCTTGCTCTGTGGTTCGTGTTTAAAAGGCCGTATTTAGCGTCATGATGATGTTAATACAACAAAGCTGATCCTAATCGTGTCTCTTTATTGATTCTTAAGGGAAATCATTGAAATCTAAGTTCAGCCGATTATTTAACCTGGCTGTAAGTATTGTTCTGGCTTGCGGTCTGAAAGCAGCAATAGGCGTCAGTAAGTCAGATGATTAAAGGGTAACCGGCCCCTGGCCCTCCCTCTCAGTGTTTTCTGAGTGGAACCGGTTTGCTGAAGCTTAAATCCAGCAGCACTGAGGAAACGGTGACTTACGTTCTCCTGATCCCCCATATCAGGCTTGTGCCACGTCTCGATCTTGATCATGAAATCGTTTTTCATGTAGGTGTTCTACAGCAGGAGAGACGGACAGCATGGTCAGTCAGAAGGGTCAGCTCAGCACCAAGCAGACATTTCATCAAACTAATACTCACAGTCAGGACTGCGTCAGGCGAGGAGGAATCCAGAAGAGAAGACATTAAAAAAAGGTTAAGAAATATGCAGATTTGAATGAAAACTCTGTAAATTTATCCTGGAAACACAGTTAGACCGAGGAGCCGTCCTTTGGCAGTGTGCCAGAGCTCTATCAGGTCAGCATACCCCGTCAGACCAGCATACCTATAGTCAATACGCAGCACAAGACGCCATTTATCCATTTATCCCTTTAGTTTTATACAAAAAATAGACTATAGACAACCTAGACGGACGTGTCTCCCTTTAGGCAGGTACAAAAAACGATTTAAGGTCAGATCGCCATACGCTTCAAAAAACACCAAAAAGTAAGTCATTAAATTGTTTTTTTCTACATGACTAAAGGTAGTTTAAAGTTCTTTTTTTTTTTTTAAACTAAAAGGGATAAAAGGGTATTGGCTATGGGTACGCTGGTCTGACGGGGTACGCTGGTCTGACGGGGTACGCTGGTCTGACGGGGTATGCTGGTCTGACAGCGTCTCCATTTCATCCGGGGCTCACTGTGTGTGAGCGACTCACCTGTTTTGCAGTAGGGATAAGCGTTCCAGGCCTTCTCATGCACCTCCAGGGAACCTTTGGGGGCGATCATGCGGATAAACTGCGGCACCTTGCTGTGGAGGCAAGGCCGGGTCGATTTCAATCGCTTATTTCAGCAAATAAACAAGTCAAAACATTTGAAATGATGAAGTTTCTTCTGTTTTCACTCCATCCCTGCAGCTTCCAGCCATTCTTCCCTGGTGGAACCTGGAGGGTCCGGTACCTACCTCTGCAGGTGGTAGACCTTATGGGTGTATTGGCCTTTCTCCCCTTCCTGCTCATACGGCTCGTTCACCAGCACCTCCACACCTTCACCCCCTCCGGTCTCATTTTTACTGGCCTCTGCTACCGTGTACAGCTGGCCCACTTGGTACTGAAATAAATGACAAAGGTTTAACGGTCATCAAGGTGTTTCCATGATAAATGTTCATCTGGAACTTAATACAAGCTAAGCTAACGCTAGCTTCACTGTTTATACTGTTTAGGCTTGAATGAACTCTGGTTTTTAGGGGAACACAGACGTTTATATTTACAGGGGTGTGCGGGGCGGCCTAGCTGGGGGAGCGGGGCGGCCTAGCAGGGGGAGCGGGGCGGCCTGGCGGCCTAGCGGCCTAGCAGGGGGAGCGGGGCGGCCTAGCTGGGGG